CTGACGATCCCAGTTTCTGTTTCAACGGGAGAGCGATCGTTTTCAAAACTAAAGTTAACTAAAACTTATCTCAGAAATGCAATAGGTCAAGACAGGCTCAATCATCTGGCAATCATATCGATAGAAAGCGATGTAGCAAATTCGATTCAATATGACGACGTGATTGAAGAATTTGCCACTTCAAAAGCGAGAAAAAAGACATTTCTTTAAGTCATTTTAATGTATCATTTTTTTGTTGCTTTTCAAATAAACTTGGATCAAATGTATCATTTTTGAGATTTTTTCACACACTTTTAAAAATTCGAGTTTGAAAGGGCGCCAACGGATTTTGAACCAGGGCGCCAGCGAAGCTAGAAATGGCTCTGAGAGGACTGCTTTGTCAGTGTGGATACAGTTTCCGTACGTGTCATTCATCGATTTGCACTCACACAATCACGGGCGCTTTGTTCACCGCGTCGTCACTGACATTGCGAACACAATTGAACGCTTGAGAATAAAAGACTGACGCTACCAGGTTTTTTCGCAAAAGCGGGATAAAAATCAGTTGCACGCAAAAGAGACATTTCAAAAGGTTGCACGCAAGAGAGAAGTATTACTTTTCCGCAAACTTTGTTTGTTAGGTAAAGTATTGGTTTTACTAGCCAAAATTTCATGACATCTCCTCTTTCGGTATGGCGTCGTTCGCGTTCGCGTCCGAGTTTTTTGTCCGCCGATTATCTCAAAAAGTTGACAAGATAATTGAGATCTGTAATAGCCAAAAGTTTTGGCATGTCGAGACAAAGCTTCGGATTGATTTTGAGCCATATCCGATGTGACTTTGGGGTACCTCTCCTAAGGAAAACCCTCAAAAATGGTACATTTGTACGGGAAGTACCCGAAAAAAGCATTTTTCAGGGTTTCGATCAAGGCAAACTGATGTTTTTTTGCAAAAATAATGGGAGTCTGTGAACGACCGAACACCTACTTGCCCATAAATTTGGTCCAAAATCGACATTTCTTGAAATTTTCCTTGAAAAATAGACTTTTGTATGAAAAATCACACAGAAAGCCATTTTTTAGGGTTTTGGTCAAAGCAAACTGATGTTTTTTTGCAAAAATAATAGGAGCCTTCAAACAACCGAACACCTACTTGCCCATAAATTTGGTCCAAAATCGACATTTCTTGAAATTTTTCTCGAAAAATAGACTTTTGTATAAAAAATCACTCAGAAAGCCATTTTTTAGGGTTTTGGTCAAAACAAACTGATCTTTTTTGCAAAAAAAATGGGAGCCTTTAAACAACCGAACACCTATTTGCCCATAAATTTGGTCCGAAATCAACATTTCTTGAAATTTTTGAAATTTTGTTCAAAAATGACACTTTTGTATGGAATATGGTCGAAATAGTTATATTTTAAGGTCAAAAATGCTATGAAAAAAAGGGTCCATTGAAATTTTGGTTAATCATTAAGCGGGAGGTAAACTAAATTGCTGCGGAGCGGAAAAGTTTGGATTACGTATGTAATTCGTTTTATATTGTTGTTGTAATCACGGCTTTAAAATTCCAAATGCGACAAAATAAAATGGTCCGTTTGCGTGTAACCTTTTGAAATGTCTCTTTTGCGTGCAACTGATTGTTATCCGCTTTTGCGAAAAACCTGCTAGCGTCAGTCTTTTATTCTCACGCGTTCAATTTCTTTTCATCGGTGACTATCGAGGCGAACACACGTTTAACCGCCACGCTACTGCTAGTGCAGAAATTTTTCAATTCACAAGCCTTGAATGTCTATTCAATAGAATTAGAATCAGATTTTTCGTATGAGTTTCAACCACTTTTGAAATCAACAGCAATTTGAATCGTGAAAAACCACTCAAAGGTGAACGAAACGATATAGTCTTTGGAAGGAGAATGGGCATGGGGGCAACATCCAGAATTTTGCGTTTAGCGCCGGTGTACTTCGTAGTGGAAAAAAAGTGAAGCTTGCTCGTCACCAATATTGATGTTCACGGACATCAAATCGTTTATGCGTGATTTCGCCCACTTCATGCACTGAAAATCACGGAAGACGATAGTCCGACAAGTGACGCTCCAATAACTGTGCATTTCAAGCCAAATATCAAAAATGCCAGTTTTTGCGTCACGAGTATATATACAGTAAATATGCTATTTTCTCAGGACATTGATGCATTAAAATGTAATACAATAAGTTTTCAAGGCATGAATTTAATTGACGCATTATTATCGAGATAAGATAGCATTCGTGAAGTATTTTCTTGTACTGACCAAGCTAACCTCAAAAAATTCTCTTTGCTTTGTTTCAATTGTCACATTTGATTCATTCAGGCGAGCAGTAAACGATGAGCATAGCTCTGACCTTTCAACCGACACGAATGACCTGAGAATGTCCGCAAACCAAAACCAAACTCAGTCTGCTGATTCAATCGAAATCAAGCAAGAAGGTGAAATCAAGCAAGAGCCAGTGTCTGTCGACGAAGTGGTTGAAGTGTCGGAATCGACTTATCACAATCTACGATGTGTTCCTGGTTTCAATGATCGTGACGTTGAATATGATTTCGATCACTTGAACGAGGTAGACGCTAAGGTCAAGGTGAAGAAAGAATGTGAAGATAACAAAGAAGAAGACTCGAAAATGAATGATGACTCAAAAGAAGAAGCTACGGGCAGTCAGCAGAATCAGCGGCAGCCACTGCCACACGGTGAAGGCGGTTTCATCGCCCCAGAAAGTGATGCAAGTGGACGCGATACACAGAAACGAGGTGACAATGCTTATGTAAATCAAACGAAGAAACATAAATGCTACATTTGCATCTATTCAACGCGATGGAATGGTGATTTAAATAAGCACATGCTGAAACACACTGGCGAAAAGCCACATGGGTGCGATTTCGTTGAAGAGTTTCTGTTCCATTGCCCGGGCTGTTTGCAAGGATTCGGTGGAAAAAACGAAGAGGAAGCACACGAAGTCAAGTGCAAGACTCGTCGCTACGAATGTCATTTGTGCAAGGATTCGTTTGGATCAATGAAGGGGAATATGATGAAGCACATGCGTGTGCACAGCGGTGACAAACCATTCCAATGCAACGAATGCTTTAAGCGATTCGTACAAAAAAGTCATCTTAAGGAACACATGAAGGTTTATGGTGGTCTACGTTCATTCCGCTGTACCAGATGTCGTCTGGGATTCGTTCGCCAAGATGAAAGAAATGCACATGAGGGGAAGTGTAATCGCCGTTTGTATGAATGCTATGTTTGTGGAAAGTCATTTGGTTTCAACAAATGCAATTTGATCGACCATATGCGCACACACTCTGGGGACACTCCGTTCGAATGTCAACATTGTTTGAAGCAGTTCAAACAGAAAGTTAGCCTCAATAATCACTTGGTATCTCATACGAAGAAGCTTCCATTCAAATGTTTGATTTGTCGCCGGGGTTTTTTAAATGATGTCAAAAGAAAGGCTCACCAGCGGAACTGCAATCGACGCTATTATGAATTTCATTTGTGTAAGAAGTTTTCCCACCCGGTATAGGTAAATGTGATTGATCACATGCGCACCCATTCAGAAGAGAAACCATTCGAATGTGGCTCATGTCGCAAGACATTTTCATCGCGATGGAGTTTGAAACAGCATTTAAAAAAAAATCAACACAAAACATTCTGAAAAACGTAATTTTATCGCAGCTATCTTTTTCAGAAAATATTCTGCTTAATTACTACTTCCATCAGATCAAACGCATTCATTGAACCATTCAAATAATGGAAATTCTTAAATTGGAATTTTTCTTCCAAAAATGTACTTTCTAAATTGAACATGTAAAACATACAAATTGTACTGAAAATACTGTTTCTTCATTCTTTAGGTTACAGCATCCGATTCCATTCCAATATTTTTTCTTTACAACATGTAATCCATAGCAAACAATGACAAATATTGATTTAAATAAATAATTTGCGAAATGTATTCGTAATTGCATTATTTGATTAACAATTTTTGAGATCTTGGAGATTTGAATCAAAACTCTACACATTTTATTTGTCACACAGAAAGAGTAGCGAAGAGAGGATTGTTTAAGTATTTCCAATACATGACACAGCTCTTCTCTCATACTTTCCCATCGAGGGCGCTCGAAATGTCAAGACCGAATGCAAATTGACAAACAAATGTCAAAGCTCATTTGGTTTGGAAAGAGTTGAGTTTGGGTGTGACCTTTCTGCATTATTCTCATTCGATTCAGTGTGTGACAAAATGGATTCAGTGCGAAAAAATACACCAGTTTCATAGTTCACTTTGCGGACTTCTTCTTCAATTGGCAAATTAAGAGAAAAAAACACTAAGAACGAATAAATTAGAACGATAGAAATTGTGTTTGCGCTGGAAAAGTGACTAAAAGTTGAAAGCAAAGGTTCGGCGTGTGGTCGCATTAGTTTGATCAGTTCAAAACAAAGACATCCATTGTTTGAGTGAAAAAAAAACATTCGAGTGAGTCATTGATGTCTGTTTTTAAAATTCAGATCACAAATTTCGCTGAATCATCATGTTTTTATCACATTTTTCCATCGAAAATTCGTTTCAATATTTTGTTGATTTCATTGTTTTAGTTCCAAAGTGACACACTGTGAATTCAATTGCCATTACGATGTCTGTTCCATCGGCCCGTCATCCGATGCCAAAATTCCGGTGTAATTCGTGCTTGCATGTCCAGAAAATGTTCGAACCGGTGACTGCTGGATCGAGTAGCAATCGAGTGACCGCTGCCAAGCAGTATTTCACCAGCTGTTACCATATACTGTGCAATAGTTGTCGATTTAGGAATGGTCAAAATTGTGCGCTGTGCAATCGAAGTTGCCAATTCATTGGATGCACCACCAACATGCCAAAACATTACCAGCTCTTCTTCAAGCCGATTTCAAGCGCAAAAAAGCAGTTGTTGGATATTATGAAGTTTCAGCGGATGCAAAATTTTATTGCGAAACGACGATTAACAGCCAAAAAGTTGCACGTTCAGAAGAAGCGGATGGTTTTGATACAAAAAGTCAAAGAAGCCGGCGAACGACGTCAACAGGCCGCAGAAAAGTTGCACAAATACAAAATTGTGCACCACAAAATTTGTCAGGAAAAACGGTGAGTGGAACAAATTTGGATTGGTCTGGTTTTTTTGGGATAATGAAATGAATGCATAAGAAAAAGTTGTTAATAAAAACAAAGATGAACAAGTGAAATTCATATCGAACCCTTAAGTAACTTATTTTTTGGGAGAGAGAAAATAGTCTGTTTTTTTTTGTTTGTTACATTGAATGTTTTATTGGTTTGCAGACGCAGAGATGAAGAAAAGCAGCGAAAACAACAACTACAACAACCGGAAAAAAATCAACCACGGCAACAGCAGCACCAGCATCAGCTAAATCAACACCAAATCCAACAGCAACAGCAGCACCATCACCATCAAAACATGCGTCGACCGAATGAGTTTCACCGTGACCGACAACCTGCTCACACTTCTCGACCCCATCACCAGCACGGCCATAGCAACAATCACCAACAACGAAATGCATTGAATACCGATTTGTCCGTAACATCGACAAATAGCGGTACGGTTCAGACTGACACCAGTCTTGGATTTAGATCTTAAGAAAAACTTCAATTGACACAATTTTTTTCTTCACTTTTTCGACTAGTGATTAGTGTCATTATTCTAATTCCATCTGACTTTTTTTTTGAATTCAATTTGTAAGAAACGCAAATTTTTCACTGAATTAAAATGCAAGTTCATATTTAGGTTAAGCCCAATTAAATTTAGCCAACCAAAGAATGATTCACTTTCAATGAAACGCAATTTTTTTTCTTCTTCTTAAAACATGTTGCATTTAATTAAGTGACAAACCATTGAAAAAAAGTTTATTTTTGTGAGAAATTTAAACGATTCTGTGTAATTGAAATCGTTTTTAGAGAATAGAGGTTGCTAAAATTGTGAATAAATGATTTTGGTTAGTTTCTTTGATATTTTGTCTCACTTCGTTTTGAGTAAAAGCAAACTTTATGTCAATCACTCTTTGATACTCTAACATGCAATAAATATTTGGATTTAGTCTACATATAATCTAAGATAATTACTATAAGATTCTGTGTCAAACTGTATTGAGTGTGACATCTAACGCCCTGCTACTTTTCTGAACATAAGATAGCAAGAGGAGGCTGAATTATTAATCTGAAATAAATAAGCACGAAAGGATTATTTTCAACTGAATTAATGCGATCTGTGGCGGAATTCTGTGCAAATTCCGAAATTTCTATTACGAAATGAAAGATAAATATAAATAATCAGATTCAATTGTATTTAAAAGTCGATGCGAAATTTTTTTTTACTTTTTGCGAGAAGTAGTGAGATGAGATGTTGTCCATAACAAAGAATTCATTTAGGATCATTCAATATAATTTACAATTGATGTATGAATTCCGAAAAAAAATCTCGCCACCTTTTCGAGGTAGTGAAATTATTTCGTTGAAAACCTAAATGAATTCTTTGTTATGAACAACATCTCATCTCACTACTTCTCGCAAAAAGTAAAAAAAAAATCTCGCATCGACATTTGAATACAATGGAATCTGATTGTTCAAAATCTCACATTTCGTAATAGAAATTTCGGAATGTGCACAGAATTTCGCCACTGTTCTGATCTAAAATGTCACTTCCAAAGTCAGAACGCTTTTTTGGTTAATTCAAAATATGGAAAACGTGTTTTTTCACCATAAAATTGCCACTTGAGTTCAAAACTCGAAAATTGTTCAGTCTCCATATTTTGATGATTTGAATGGAAGAAGGAAATCATTCATGGCGAATATGTTTTTGCTGATTCTTTTGGTATAAAATGAGCATATACGCTCCACTCCAAATTCTTGACCATACGTTTACAGTGCTCAGGTTGTTGCGGATTTTTTTCGCTTTCCGCATAACTAATTTAAGAGTTAACTGCCCGCAATGAAGTCATAGAAAAACAAATGTGCTAACATGTTTACCTTGACAAAATTATTTAGGTTACAGTCGACGATTCCAAAACCCTTGAAGGAAATTCGATGTTGCGATCGAGCCATCATCAGAGGTAAGTATGTGCGAGCTGCATGCGGGAAATTGTACCAATCGGTGTTGTAAATAGTTTCGGCCGTTTCTGAAGTAGATGTTGTCGCCTTCGTTGCTGAAAAGCACAATCCAAATGGCCACAAGAGCGACACCATCAAACACAAAATATCATACAGTATCATCCAATCCAAATTGCCAATGGTCTGGAAAAAGCGATTTTATATCTCGGAAAATTAAATTAAGAGAACTTTAAATGGGCGTGATACTTTTAAAACGACATGGAAATTCGGGAAAAATTACACACAGTTAGCATTCATCGAAATTTTTTCAAATATAAATTGTGAAATGAGTATGGAGACCGTACACAAAGGGTCTCCAATCCCATTTCAGTAAGCTGCAATTGTGCAAAATGCAATCCAAAATTGCGCTAGTAGTATTAGAACATAACATTTGGACAATGTCCATTGGGACATCTTCAAATCTTCATATTTTATTTAGAAAAAAATGGTCTGAAAAGGTTCGAAAAGGGCCGAAAAATGAATGAAAAATAAACAGTTACATTTTCAATTTGGTATAGAGCAGCTGCCAAAAATACGATATTACACGAAAGCATCCAGAATATGACTCCACTGCTGACATCAACTGCCAAATTGGCAATTCTTGGCATGAAAATGTAAATAAAATTTCAATTTAAATTCGAGAAATAAATCAGAATCAGTAACATAAGAAAATTCACAATTATTCACAATGACCAAGATTTAGTTTGAAAAATTTAAGAGCCTGTTGTTCATGGAGCAATTTTCACGTGAAAAGGTTTAATTTTGAATCAAGTTTTTACGTTGAACAATTTGGATTTTTATCTTTACATTTTGGTGAAAATTACGAACAACAAGCCCAAGCATCACTCAGTCGAATTGGTACCGAATAGCAAATTCATTGTAATTTATGTAAAAAGCTTGTCAAACTCACTTGAAAGTCTTCGAATGTTGTTCAACGATCCTGTTCAACCTTAGTTTAAAATTCAATGCCTTGCGGTTGCTCTCTTGCCGTGTTTCTTTGATTTCCTGGCTTATTTTAATGTCCGTATCAAACGTTTTGACCAAGTAGCCGAAATGTTCACACATGCCGATGATATAGAAACAAAGGCTCACAAAGTATGTTACACAGCATGTGGTGCTCAATGAATAGACAAAACCAATGTAACAATTAATAAGCCAGAGTAGAAGCCAACCCAATAGAGTAGAAGTATCGAATGGAACAGTTACACTGTATGGCAGAAGCCAAGATGAGGTATCAAAATTTCCCATCCACATACAAAATGCAGCAAAAAATAAAGCGGCTAAAAAAAGCCCTGCGGCCATCAATAGATAGCCAATCGAAACGAATTTGGTGAGTTTTTGGCAATTTTCTTCAGCTTCCATATAGAATGTCGATTCATAGGGCTCTGAAACTGATTGTTTGGAATCGATTACGAATTATTAGTATTCGCTTCATACGAAACGAAAAAAAAGTTACCATTGTCGACGTGGTCTTGAATCCCAATGTATAACTGTTTGACATTCTTCATTTCCAGTCCAACACTGAT